AGCTTTCTATAGTAGAGAAGTTAGCCTTTAGTTTGTCACATGTGCTGTAAATTTCTATTTATTGATTTATTTGTTGGCAACACAAATGATTCTTTTTTAAAAAATGTAGCTAAATGTATCATTCTCTTTATGTTTTCTGGATAGTGACTTTCCGAATGTAAAAATATTTAAATATCCAGCTGTGTTTGTTTTGGTGCATTTATAGTTTTATTTTTTTAACCTTCAAATCTTTCTTCCATATCAATTTATTTAGATGTACAGAGTAAGGTCAGAATCCAGCTTTTTCTCCTCACTTTGTTGTCTCATTGTTGCAAAAACAATAATAATCCATCATTTTCCCCCTGACAAGAAAGGTAATATTTATTATGTCCTAGTTCTCATATTTATTTTAGTTCATTTCTAAACTCTGTTGTCTCCAATTGATCTGCCTCTTATAAAGCAGTACAATACTTTTTTTAAATAAAATATGTCTTTATTGATTCCAGAGAGAGGAAGGGAGAGGGAGAGAGAGAGAGAAACATCAACGCTGAGAGTCACTGATCGGCTGCCTCCTGCACCCCCCGACTGGGGATCGAGCCCGCAACCCGGGCCTGTGCCCTGACCGGGAATCGTACCCCAATCGCCTGGATCCTAGGCCGATGCGCAATCGCTGAGCCACGCCGGGCCGGGCTACCATACTCTTTTAATTGCTTTAGTTTTATGACATTTTAATAGATGAGTAGAGATCATTTTCATTCGATCTTTTTCATATTTTTCCCTTCCTACTCTCACATAATTATTTGCCCAGATGATGTTTAGATCAAGTTAGTGATATTACAAATACAAATTCTGTTGGTATGTGTTTTGGAATCAACTCAGTTTACAGATTATTAATGACCTAATTGACATATTTATTTTATAGATTCTTTTTATTCAAGAATAATATAAGTCTTTTACATTTATTCCTAACTTCTGTTCTTTATCCAACTTAGATTCCATGGTCTGGGATTACAATCATTCACTTGCACATTGTATTAGTTTCCTATCACTGCTGTAACAAATGACCACAAATTTAGTGGCATAAACAACTCAAATTTATTATCTGACATTTGTGGATGGCAGAAGTTTGAAATGGGTCTCACTGGGCTAAAATAAGGTGTGATTAGGGTTGCAGTCCTTTCTAGAAGCTCTAGGGAGAATTGGTTCCCTTCCCTTTTCCAGCTTCTAGAGGCTACTTTCATTTTTTGTCTTGTGGCCAATTTCTCCATCTTCAAAGCTAGTAACATTGGACTGAGTCACATCTCTCTCTGACTATAGCTTGGAAAGTTTCTCTTCTTCTTTTTTTAAAAAAAATATATCTTTATTGATTTCAGAGAGAGGAAGGGAGGGAGAGAGAGAGAGAAACATCAGTGATGAGAGAGTCGTTGATCGGCCGCCTCCCGCATGCCCCTCACTGGGGATGGAGCCCCCAACCCGGGCACGTGCCCTGACCAGGAATTGAACCCTAATCTCCTGGATCCTAGGTCGATGCTCCACCGCTGAGCCACACCCACTGGACAAGTTTCTCTTCTTTTAAGTACCCATGTGATTAGTTTGGACCCTCCCAGATAATCCAGGATAGTCTTACTATCTCAGGGACTTTAACTGGTCATATCTGCAAAGTTCCTTCTGTCATGTGAGGTAACATTCACAGGTTTCAGGGACAAGGACATGGCCATCTTTGGGGGGACATTATTCTGCCTACAACAGATAAATGCTCCACTGCCATGTCCCTCTCTACTATCATTGAACTCAACTGGAAAATCCTAACTCTAATGAGAGGAAATTTGGATTAAACAGGTCTGGGGAATTTAAAGTGCTAAGTGGTGTATTTTGCTTTAGCAGTGTTTAGCTGCCAGGATGTTTATTTTGCAATTTAAATTCCCAGACACTAACCTCGAATGGACCTTTTGGATGGCCCTGCAACCCTGCAACACTGCTGGTCCATCAGATCCTCTCTCTTCCACTCCTCTCCTCTTTCCTCACACCTCCAGGATCTCCTGTCCATCCTTGCTCCTAGCATATGAAATTGCTTCTTATTTCGGCGAGAGTGGAGAGGCAATCTGGAGTGAAATTATACATGCTTTCCCATCATCTTCTAATGTACTTGCATCTGTATCCATATAACCAGTGTGCGCCAATTACTATAGCTCAAGAGGAAGTCAAAGTCTCTACTTGTGCTCTGGATCCCATCCCTTCTGCCCATGCTAGGAAATCACCCCAGTAATTTTCCAACCCCCTAACCTCCTATTCTCTCCTCTCTATGGTGAATCCCAGCAGCTGGCTATATGTTATGTTATCATTCATCAGAGCCCTGGAAGCACCAGTCTCACCAAGGGAGAGGGTTCTCCAAACAGGTACCCCAAAATAAATCCCTATAATCATCCTAAGGTGACAAAGTGCTGAAATGTCAACTTAAGGATGTTTCCATGTTCATTCATTGTCTCATTAGACTTAGTATCATTTCTTTAGGTTCTAGGCCCACTGTATTTATTTTCCTGAGTAAATAATTCACATAGTGAATTTGACCCTACTTAGAACCTCCACTTAGGGGTTTGCATGGAACCAAGTGGCCACCCTCAGACCAAAGCTGCCATCATAGCACTCAGCACTGGCCATGCATTTGAAGTATCTTGGTAAATATTTAATGTCTATAATCATCTGTGCAAAACAATAGTTTCAGTACTCTTGGGTGAAGTCTGTTCGCTTCCATCCTGCCTCACAATGCCTTTTCTCCTCCATAAGTAAAAATCTGTTTATAAAACACTAGTTCCCATTTTGATAGAAAATATCAAAATAACTCCTGTAGCAAGAACATCTTTGAATACCTTGATAGAGTGAATCTTTTCCTGAATGTGAAGTACATATCTCAGAAATAAGCAATGCAGACGGAACTTCCAGGAGACAAGTTTTATAAAACTGTCTGTTTGGTAAAGGTTACTTATTTAGTGGACTCCTTAAAAGCAGGGACAAAAGGAAACACCAAATTAACTGGGTTTAAAAACAAAGCTACAAATAATATTTGTTCCCTGATATCTTATCTGATGTGCATCCAGTGTAGGTTTCACATAATTTTTTAGACTCTACAAATTGGGTTTGCCAGCAACATTTTCTCTTTTTAGGAACTGAAAGAACATCTGTGCTTGTGAAAGGGAGCTAGGACCCTGAGGCCCGACCTGGGCCCCCTTGCGAGTCAATGGGGAGGGGAAGGCAGCCTCATTTCCACCCTGCAACCAAACCAAGACCAGGCGAGGCAGCAACTGCCCTGACAGTGATTAGCACTCACTTCCACCAGCTGCCAAGGTGGTTTTCTTTGTAACCGAGCCAAGGGTTTCTCCGTATTAGGCCATGGAAAGATAGAACAGGGGCAGGGAGTCCTCGTGGAAGGAGCTGGCTGCGGTCGCGGCGGGAAGCGCCTGCTGAGGAAGCCAAGGGCCGGGCGGAGGCGGTGAGATGTGCCTGCCCTGGGCCCTGCCCTCAGCTGCTGCTCCCTTCTCCTGAGCTCTCAGACCTCCAGCAGAGTCCCAGACTCCAGCTTAAAGAATAAAAGTGGCCCTAAGTGTCACCATCCAATGAAAACTGTGTGGTCAGCGTTTCTGTGCCACTCTTTCTAGTCAACGAAACAGCTTTTTACTGCAGAGGCGAACCGACCACGCTCACACTTGGGGAGGGTAAGGGGCCAACCCTCAAATCCTGGTCTCAGACACCTAAGCCAATGTCCTTTTCATGAGCCACAGATGAGCCAGGAAGACCACACTGCCGGCACGCTTGGTGACAGGCTGTCAGTATGTCCGCGGGTATAGCAAGGGTGCTCAGCCGCTGCACTGGGCACTGGGGCCTGACAGTGCTTGTTGTAGGGGACTGTCCTGTGCACTGTAGGATGCTTAGCGGCATCCTGGCTTCTACCCAGTAGATGTCCGCTGCATCCTTCCCAAGCTGGACAACTAAAAGCGTTGCCAGAAACTGCCAGATTTCACATAGAGATGGAGGGCACAACCGTCCCTGGTTGAAAACCACCTATCTGTGTGTGTGTGTGTGTGTGTGTGAGAGAGAGAGAGAGAGAGAGAGAGAGAGAGAGAGAGAGAGAAAGAGAGAGAGAGAGAGAGAGAGAGAGAGATGGATTACTTTTTAAATATTCATGATACATCCCCTCAAAGCAAATGGTAGAAGTTCTACAGACACTGAGATCCTCTAAAGCAATCTTCCAGCTTTTAGACGCTTGTCATCCTTCCTGCCTACCTTCACATTTCAGGCGCACCAGCCAGCGTCGCTTGTTATGGTGGGTTTACTTCACTTGGATACCACCATAGCTTTTCCTTCAGCTCAGGTGACCCTTCTGCTACACTAACAGAAATTGTAAAGCACCCTTACAGAAGATAGTAGACATTCACAAACAGACTTTTACAGGTTAGAGAACTTCAAACGCATGCTTTTCTTCTTTACCAGAGTCAAGATCTGTGTTTGTAAAAACACCAGACAACCAGGCCTGACCTGGCCCCAGTGTCATGGTGTTGGACCCCGACAGACACGTCAGGCGAAGGACTAGATGATAATGAATTAACACTGGGATAGTCCCTGATTCAGGGGTCGCATGAGGCCCAAGGACAAGTTTAATAGATTGTTACAACATTCTTTTCAAGTGGTTATTTTGAAATCATGTTGAGACAGACAGGGTTTTTCTTCTAACCCTGTAAGTTGACCTTTCTGGAACCTCTAATTGGTTGTTCCGATACTGTGTAGGCAGCTTTCCTTTCTAATGCCCCACGTTGACCTTCCCTCTAAGTCAGCATATTAGTTGACATGTAAATTGCCTCTCTTGAACATGTCTTTTAAAATGGGCACTAATGCCAGTCAAGGATTGAGAAGTTGTAGTTTCCTTCCTGTGTAACGGCAGGTGTGAGAGGCCTTTGCGCCTCAGGGCTCTGGCCAAGCAGATGTCTGGCTTGCAGAGATCCCTGATGGAGTAACAGACAGGGCCTTACCTTTGGGAATGGTGATCTGACAGCTCAGGTCACAGTCCTGCTGCAACTGATAAAAAGCCACTTCCTGCAGCCGGGCTCGCTCCAGCTCTGAGAGACTCTGGATGGGAACCGACCTCAGCCGCACGCTGCGGCCCGACATGCTGTTCCAGGTGAAATCGCCCTGCAGGCCCAGGGAAAAACAGCAAGGGTTACACAGTCCATCTGCATCTCACAAACCTCAGCCGCTCTCTTCGTAATAAAGTTGAGCAACTTTCACCCTTTTGTTCCAAAATTGGCTCTCAGTCCCTAAAATCAAGTCTACGCTTAGTTAACCATGGATTTTCTCAGTCAGTTACAAACATCAAAATCCCAAGCACCTGCTGGGTCACCTGGTTCCATATAATGATGCATACAAAGGCCAAAGAAAACTATGTGGAAAGATGTTTCAAGGGTAATATTTCCTCTCTTTTATGGGAACACATGGGAACTCTCTGGTTTTCTATCTCAGTAACAGGAAACCTGATGGTAATTGCCATCATGTGCACTAAAATATAGGAGAGCGAATGTGTACTGATAACCTACTATGCACCTGTGACTGTGCCAAGGGATTTTTAGTTATTCCCTCCAACAACTTTATGAAGTGGGTACTGCTTTTGACCATAATATAATATTTAATAATATAATAGCATTAAATAATAATATCTGGTATATTTATAATATATTATATATACTTATGGTACATTATAATAAATACAGATGTTCCTCAACTTACAATGGGGTTACATCCCAATAAACCCATTGTAAATTGAAAATGTCTTAAGCTAAAGATACATTTAATACACCTAACCCACTGAACATCATAGCTTTGCCTAGCCCACCTTAAACATGCTCAGAATGCAATGTCCATAAAATGCTGGCAACACAGTACACTGTAGGGTTTTGGTTGTTTACCCTCCTGACTGTGTGGCTGATTGGGAGCTGTGGCTGCCAGTGCGCAGCATCACAAAAGAGTATTGTACTGCATACCACTAGCCCAGGAAAAGATCAAAATTCAAAATTTGAAGTATGGTTTCTATTTAACAGCATCATAAAGTCGAAAAATCTTAAGTTGAACCATTGTTAAGTCAGGCACTGTTTATACTTATGTTACATTATATTAATATTATAGAAATATATAGTATATATAAATATTATAATATATAATATAATATAATATAATTAATGTAATATAGATGAAATTGAGGCTTGGGGATATTAAATAATTTCCTCCAAATCATAAAACTTACAAGGTTTGGAACCAGCCAGGACTCAAGCTAAAAAAACTTATGCCTTTAATATCTATGCTAAATTGTAACCTCTGAGTTTCTGTTTACAGCACTCTAATGAGATACTTTGGTCACAGTAAGTCCAGAGATATGATCAATAAGAACTGCATATATTTTTAGAGACATGAGACATTGATGATAAAATACTCCACATCAAAGAATCAAAGAAGTTCCGGTCAAGATGGTGGCACAGAGTCAACATTTTGGATGTTCTGGTAGAATAACAACAAAAACAAAAACCCAGAATGAAATAAAAACCAATTTTAACATTAAAAAAAAAGAATCAAAGCAAAGATTCCCTTCCCACAATCCTGACTACATTTGTGTGCACACGTACACACCTCTGATGCCCACTGGGAGTGCATGGCTCTACCCTTGATGCGGACAGTGAGAAAGCGACAGCTTACAGATCAGTACATTACAATCCTCTGAAACCCCACGTCCCCCTGCTGAAGATGACTTCCTGGGAATTACAGATGTCAACCAGCACACGAGAGCTTTGAAGAGGTACCTAGTGTTTCATCAAAAATCAAGAAAAGTTCCAGAAGAAAGGAACAGTGCTGGCCCCCACAGGCACTGCCAAGGATTTGTTGTGGATGTGTGGAACATTTCAGGAATCCCTTAAGACTTCACCATCCCCATCATTCACCTTAAAAAAGGTGAGACAGAAAGACTGACACAAGCAACTATTAAATTGCCTTTGTTCCATACTGGCAGCAAATTCCTGCCTAGAATGTTCATTCCAAAGAGTGAATGGCACTATGGTAAAGCTCTGATAGTTTCCCTCTTTGTTTGGGATTTCATTTATTTACTTATTCATTTATTTAAAAAATGGAGATACTATACTATAGGAGGGGCAGAAAATAGACAAGGTAAGTAAAGGGTATGGTCCAGTGTGTTAAAGAATGATAACTGCTAGGAGGGAACACGAGGCCAGGAAGGGGCTGCCAACGCGAATAGCGGACAGGGGCGCACAGCTTAGGGTAGAGCGGCCAGGGAAGCTCTCACAGAGAAGGCCATTCTGAGCAGGAGGTAAAGGAAGTGAGGGCTTTTTGTTTGTTTGTCTTCACAAGTATGAATTTGCATCAGAGGATAACGATGAAGCTCAGGAGGGGCTCAGGGAGCAGGATGTGGGACCGAGCCTGGGGAGGGGAGTAAGTGAGCAAGCCTTGGCAAAGTGGGTAGGCTGCAGCCACATTTGGTGAACTGAAGAAAATTGTTCAAGGTCCAATGTATTGGGGATTTTTTTTTTTTTTTTTTTTGGTTAA